GATTGTTTCTTTTTAATCTGATATGCTAACAGTCTACCAGATTTGTTTCCATGTTCATAATAATTCTGCTTGGAAAGAAACAGTAATTTTTTAATTACTGGCTGGACCGAAGAGCAGTCAGCAGGGTGCGCCTCGGCGGGCGCCACCGACACGTGGCCAGCAGAGGGCGCCTCAGCAGGCACCTCGGGCAGAGCTGCGTCAGCTGCAGGGACCGCAGGCAGGACGGGCGGGTCAGGCTGGAAGGCGGGTCAGGCTGGACAGGCGGTGCTGCGGGCACAGCGGCGGCAGCAGCGGCAGCAGCAGCAGGCGGTGCTGCTGGCAGGTCCAGAGCAGGCGGGTTTGGAGCAGTCAGATCCGGAGCAGGTAACCCTCGGACTGCCCCTTTAAGGGCTTTAGGGACCCGGAGAATAGCGTCCCGGATGGCGCTGATCCCGCCCTGGCCCAGGCGCACCGGCCGGTAGTGGTACGCCTCTAACGTAGGTGGCTTCTCCTCAACGTGAGGCTTACCGGTATGAGCAGCATCCTCCCAGGCGGGGAGCAAGGAACAGGCTCCCAGGAAGATCGTCGGAGCTCCTCTCCTTTTTCCCCTGCGCCTCTTCCTCTTAGGAAGAGCGGGGCCCTCTGGGACCCTGGGCAGGATCTTGCCCTGGGTGCTTTGCCCAGGCAGTTCCCCAGAGCCGGGGAGCTGAGTGGCCGAAGCCGCGTTAAGCTCAGTCTTGCGCCTTGGAGGAGCCGTCTCTCGCTGTGCGGCTGAGGCTGGAGCCTTTGCCATCTTGCTCGAGACCGGGATCGTGGCAGGTGGTGAGTCGGGGGGCGGTTCCCAGGCGGCATACCCCAGGTGGGGCAGCCAAACTGCCGCTCTCTCCCTCAGCCGCCGTAGGTTTTCACCCACCTCTACTAGCTGCTGCTCCTCACCAGTACGGAATCTCCTGTCCAGGAGTACCCAACATCTGTCAACCAGCCGGTGGGCTACTGGATCCTCGTGGAGCTCAAGCATGTTCGTCCACCGGATCACATCTTCCTCCATGGGGAGAACCTCCCCAGTAGTGTGGTATGTTGGAAATTGGTGTTTTGGTTGAGGTTGCTTTTCTAGGGGTTGTGCTGAGTGGCTATAAAAGGGTACATATTGGGGTGTTGGGGATGGAGGCAGAGTTGTTTTTTTATGTCTATTGCAAAGTTTTAGTTAATTGGTGTATTGCCTGATTGGTACACTAGGAGGAGATCACGAGCATGTTCCTCATCATAATTGTGTTGGAACGGATGTTGTGCCTGATTGGTACATTAGGGGGAGATCACGAGCATGTTCCTCATTCAATAAAAGTTTTCGAAGAGGAAACATTGCTGGTGATTTTTTGCGTTTTTTCCTCTCCCCTTTATTCAGGTATTGTAAAGTTGATTTGTCATTAAATGTTGTCTAAAATGTCAGTACTGGTTGTGGTTTATGTTGTAGTATTTCCGTATGTGTTTTATGTAAGTAAACATAAAAAACCGCCTAATTGTATTTTAATGCATTAGATACGTGTGTAACTGCTCCTGCTGAAACCGACGTTAAAGTAGTTAGTGGTATATAAAGACAGGAGATAAATCTGTATGTGGAAACAGCCGGGGCATATCCCTTCTCTCTGTAGCTGGAAAGGTTCTGTCTAAAATAATGCTGTTCCGTCTCAT